CCAGTTGGGCTTGGGCTTCTCACATCCGTTTATGGGAGTCTGCTTCCCCTCGTACCCGTTTATGGGAGTCTACTTCTAGTAGGCTTGGGGCACCCAATTGGGCTTAGGCTTTCGAAGGTCTCACAAGTGAGGGGGCGTGTTAGAATATCACTTGTGAGTTGTCCCATATCGTTCATACATGGAAAATAGACCCACCTTATAAGTCTAATGGGCTACTCCTCCATCCACCAATTGGTTTTGGGATGGAACCTCATTTGGGCTTCATATGGGCTTGTCCCCGCTTTGGTGCGCTTCATGTTAGTGGGATCGCACCCTTTTTCCCCCAGTTTCTTACATGGTATCAGAGCCGGTTCTATTGGGACCGTGCGATGACGTTGCCTGTTTATGAGAGTCTGCTTCCCCAAGTACCCGTTTATGGGAGTCTACTTCTAGTAGGCTTGGGGCACCCAGTTGGGCTTGGGCTTCTCGCATCCGTTTATGAGAGTCTGCTTCCCCACGTACCCGTTTATGGGAGTCTACTTCTAGTAGGCTTGGGGCACCCAGTTGGGCTTAGGCTTCCGAAGGACTCACAAGTGAGGGGACGTGCTAGAATATCACTTGTGAGTTGTCCCACATCGTTCGTACATGGAAAATAGACCCACCTTATAAGTCTAATGGGCTACTCCTCCTTCCACCAATTGGTTTTGGGATGGAACCCCACTTGGGCTTCATATGGGCTTTTCCCTCTCATGGTGCTCTTCATGTTAGTGGAACCGCACCCGTTTTCCCCCAATTTCTTACATGGTATCAGAGCCGGTTCTATTGGGACCGTGCGATGACGTACCCATTTATGGGAGTCCGCTTCCCCACGTACCCGTTTATGGGAGTCTACTTCTAGTAGGCTTGGGGCACCCAGTTGGGCTTGGGCTTCTCACATCCGTTTATGGAAGTCTGCTTCCCCTCGTACCCGTTTATGGGGATCTACTTCTAGTAGGCTTGGAGCACCCAATTGGGCTTGGGCTTGGGCTTTCGAAGGTTTCACAAGTGAGGGGGCGTGTTAGAATATCACTTGTGAGTTGTCCCACATCGTTCATACATGGAAAATAGACCCACCTTATAAGTCTAAAGGGCTACTCCTCCTTCTACCAATTGGTTTTGGGATGGAACCTCATTTGGGCTTCATATGGGCTTTTTCCCGCTTTGGTGCGCTTCATGTTAGTGGGATCGCACCCTTTTTCCCCCAGTTTCTTACACTTATTATTATTACTATTATTAATATATTGAAATAATCATTCTTACGAAGCACATAAATTATAATTCAGTATTCATCCACTCACATAATTTTAACTACTTATCATTTCCAATCATTTTCAATCATTTATTTCCTACTTTTATATTTTAACTACTTATATTAATAATAGTTATCAATTTCATGCACCGAAATATTAAAAGAATAATTAATACATAGTATAATTATAAGTAACTACTAGTTTTTGTCCCGTGCGGTGCACGTGCAAATAATATTAACATAGTTATTGTAAATAAAAATTTGGTTATGTGATTGAGTCATTAAAAATTTTGTAATTAAAGATAAACTTGCACATGGATAAGCAATGGTGAGGTTAGACTTTACGCGGTGTGAACTCGTATCAATTTATGGTATTAAATGGGGGGATTAATGTTCTTTACAGAGATAATTTTGTTGTGTCCTCTTCTAAAATGGATTCCTAGGATTATTCACAGTAAGATATACCCAACTACTATTCATTGAATTATATACTTATATTAGGCATTCAACATGGAATGACAGGCATTTAATGCGGACATGCCGCCCTAGGCACCTACGAAACATATAGATTTGTAGGGCATGTATGCGCATCCCATCGGTCATCATTAGGCTATAAGTGGGACTATTTTAATGTTTCATCCTCCTTAGTGCGCCTTCAAGCTCGGACCTCCATGATACATTGAGGTCGGAGTGCCAACATCTGATTATGTATCCTCTCTCCAGCTAAGCTTCGACTTCTGAGAAGTCGACCTGAGTGCTAGTGGATATCTAACCCGAGATTTGTCTTTTGTACTTAACGTTATTCACGCTTTCCAACTCGGATGTCAACATTCAGGCCTCCGAGCTCAGATGAAAGGGCTGAGACATTTCTTCGAAGGTTGTCGATAAGGAGAGTGAATCCGTGTTGATCGAAGTCCGTTATCAACATGGCGCGTGCACCAAATCGACGGGTATTACTAGAGCATTAATGACATCCAGAATGTTTCCCACACTGAGGTGTGTTCGGATTTTTTCTCTTTTGCCTCAAAAGACGTGCCAGTTTACTTTTTGGTGACGTGGCACTTCATTCGACTGTCCATTTTATTTCAAGTTTTGAATTTGAAAGGTTTTATTTTCCAGAATTCAAATTTGGATAGTTACAGTCCAATGGGCCCGCTTCTTTTATGATGTGGCGTTTCATGAACGTGCCTTTTCTTTTATAAATAGGTATTTCTTTTTATCTGGAGATGACTTTACGTTTGAAAAAATCGTGCCATTATCTTCCTAAGAGATTTTCGTCCGCCATTGTTGCACTCATCGGGCTTTTGCACAACTTCTATTTCCTGGTAATTCCTTCTATTAGCCTTCTTATTTTCTTTTAAATTTCAAATATGTTGACATCACCACACTGGGTTGCTGACTTCGAATCTACTGGAGACGAAGCGGTTGCTTTGACTTTCGGTGTTGGCCCAATGGTGGTGTATTCACCGTCGGCGGGCGCGAGAGCAATGGAGACGGAGGCGGAAGCGACGACAGAGGAGGGGTCAACATTATCGGCGCGCGGGATGAGTGGGTTGGATCTAAATGAGGAACCCGACTTGGAACTCAGGGAAGAGGTCCACATGGACCTGGTGGAGGAGACTCTTCAAGGACATACATACGGCCGCGAACGACTCCCTCTGGTCAAGGGTGATTATCAGGCCGACTAAGCCTTGGAAGACATCACGTTTTACCCGTCAACTTTTTATCTCTCTTTGATTTTTCTCCAATATCTTTTCGTCTAAACCTATTTTCTTCCGACTCACCTTCCCTAGTGGGGTCGCCTGGCTCCTCTATGGCTGCATGTTTCTGGCTGCTCGGCTCTACCCCAATTTTGTGTAGGGTCTCGTATTTTTGCGCCAGAGGAGTTGGATGGCTGCTCCCGAGAGGATCTTGTCGTTTCATCATGGTTGCCTTCTTTAGAAGGTGCTCGTCAGATTCTCTAGCGTCGAGGCGGCGACAGGCTTCGGTGTTCTATGGGAGCTAGTGGGTTGTGGTCATGACTGCCTAGTGGGGTGGTTGATGCGGAGGTTGGTAGGCGTTCTCCCCTGGTGGACGACCGGCGTGACGAACCCTGTCCCTTGGTGTGGGCTGGGTTCAGGGTGGTGGTGGTGTGGTGGGGGGTTTGTTCGTTTTCTTCTGACTGAGGATTTGTGGTCGACCGCCTGGGTATAGGGTCAGGTTCTTGGGGTTCGAATCCAGTTAGGCGTATGTTGCAGTTTCTGGAACTGAAATTTGAGCCGTGATCTGGTCCGTTCTGGTGGTCGACCGTGAGTTTCGCTATTTGTTTCACTTGGTGTGGCTGTCCGGCCAGCGGCGGACGCAGGATTTTCTTTCAGCCAGGGCAAAAATGAAAAATAATTGCTTTTTTTTTTGTTTAAAAAAATTCGTTTCAATCAAATGACGAATATAAATATAGCTAGTAGCCGCCGTAAGCCCGTAGACAGAAGCCTACTCATTTATAGACAAAATTTTAAATCAACACTGGTATTGCATAAATTGTACGCACACGCCACACCGAATAACTAAGTGGTATGTCTGATCGAGACTCCAAGTCAGCAACGGGCACTACGGGTACTAGTTTCATGGTGATTAGGCAATTCTCAAACCATCGGCGAGAGGAGAGGATACGAAATTTACAGTAAAAGAAAAAAAACAAACATAATATAATATAATTAAAAATATGAGTTTAATAACTAAAAAAAAAAAAATGATATGAATACCTGAACATATAAAACATTTTACATTAGGAATTTCTTCTAGCTCCACTTCTGTCTTCTCATCAGTCGTCCTTGAGAAGGAATTTCTTTTCAGATTCTATGTATTGATTCATGAAGAGCGGACGAATTAAAGATGGAAGATTAAAGTTGGGTAGTGTTCAGCGGCAAATTTTGAAATTAAAGTGTCTTGTTTTCCAAAAATAAAATTAGGGATCTGTCAGTTCTTCCATCTTCGCACTTGAGAGTTAAGCAGGTGAGTTGTGTATTTTTTTGTCTGTGGGCCGGCGTGCGTGTGTGCAGGGAATGAGAGGTTATTTTATATTTTATTATTTCTTTTACCTATTAATGGAAACGACGTCGTTGTGGCTACAAATTTTTTAATTAACTGAAAGCCAAAAACGACGTCGTTTTATAGGCTACTTAAGAAAAAAAAAAAAGAATTCCTTACTATTCATCTTCTTCCTTGCACGTATAGACCTTTTTTTCTGCCATTTTTTACCCATAAATTCTTTGAACAAGTGTAATAACTTATCTTTAGCGACAAAATTTCAGCCTGGGCAACTGCCCAGGCTCGCCTATGTGTAAATCCGCCCATGTGTCCGGCTGAAGGAACAACTTTAGTCTATGGTTATTGTGTTCGAATTAATGTTTTTTCTTTGTTTCTCTTTTTTTTTGGCGTTTATTATTTTTTTGGGATTAATATTCTCCTACTAGGAGTTTAGGTATGAGCATATTGTGGTGTCCAGCCTCCCTTTTGGAATGTCCTCTTACTAAATTCGGATACTGAATCTAGTTGTAATTATATGTTTATCGTTCATTACCAAAAAAA